GACATGACTGTTGCACAGAAAAAATTGTGCCCATCTGAACACAAGTGAGATAGACTCACTTCTGTATCTGTATAGCCGGTATAACCGCCCTTCGGCGTAACACACCAGCTTCTGTATCTGTATAGCCGGTATAACCACCCTTCGGCGTAACACACCAGTTTCTGTATCTGTATAGCCGGTATAACCGCCCTTCGGCGTAACACACCAGCTTCTGTATCTGTATAGCCGGTATAACCGCCCTTCGGCGTAACACACCAGCTTCTGTATCTGTATAGCCGGTATAACCGCCCTTCGGCGTGACACACCAGTTTCTGTATCTGTATAGCCGGTATAACCGCCCTTCGGCGTAACACACCAGACTCTGTATCTGTATAGCCGGTATAACTGCCCTTCGGCGTAACACACCAGCTTCTCAATCTGTATCTGTATAGCAGGTATAACTGCGCCCTTCGGCGTAACACACCAGCCACTCAGTCACTAATATGTGCAAAACCCTGGCAAAAACACTGCCCTGGATGTCAGTCTGTTTCCAGGGCCTACACAGGCCAGCTCACTTGCTCTTGAGTCTTAGTGTAACATGCCCCCAAGGAAATTTTACCCACCACCGGCTTTACCTTTATATTTCATCTGAGATGGCCTCCCTAACCAAAGCTAAGTGCCCATTTTCACCTGTGTCGCTTGAGGACATCTATAGGTATAAAGTGGCTTTTCCACTTTACACCTATTTTACGATATTGGGGCACGCTTGGGTTTCGAACCCAGATCCTAGGCCTAGAGACCTAACCACAAGAAGACCTTGTATCACCGCAAACCACAAAATTCAAACACTTACATAAATTACAATCCTACAGTGGAGTCCCTAAGTTAGAAATGATATAATATAGAAAATGGGTATTTTTCTGTATGTCCTCGGAGTACTTTTCCATCATCTGGTGTCACAGGAAGATTCTCAAGAATTTCAGGAGCGAAAAGTTTTCTGACAGTCTTATGCAGAATTTCACACCAACACTGGCTTTCTCTCATGGAAGTTATTAGTGAGAAATAGGTTTGGGAAAGGTACTGTGATATTGTGGTATGTCAGAAGTGACCGCACCAACATATTAAATTGTAAAAGCTCCTCTTTTCCAGAAAAGATAAGGCGAAAGTGCTGGGTTGTTTTCGTTACACCATCAACCAACCAAAAATATCTGAGAGGTCCTTGTCACAGGCTATTATTGTTGGAGCCTTGCCGAAAATAGTAACCAACGAACACCCTACAACCTCTGTGTCTGGCCTATGTTATAAACCATGGGCAGGGCAACTCACAGGGAAAACAGGGAACACTGTCAGTCAGGGATCTCCCCAGAAATTTAGGACAGAATGGAGGAGGGTGCGAAATATCGGTAAATTTCACCAAAGAACCCTGGAAAAGGGTGTAAAAACACTAGTTTTGAAAATTAACAGGGTGGAGCTGAGATAAGGACTGGGTGGAGGAGCTCCACTGCTCCATTGTTTAGGGAGGTCCCTGTCAGTGTCTGTCAGGGAAAGAATAGGATTTGTGTGAATGTTACACTAGCACTAGTAGTAGCAGGAAGGAAGCTAACAGATAAAAACATTCGTAACTGACTCTAGTCGTGATACAAGAACTGCATCAACATTGTTACCACATATTGGTGGTTGGTATTCCTTTAAACATTCTGGCATACTAATTTTCACCTGAGCGAAGTGAGGAAAGTCGTGTAAAGTGCCCCTCCCAAGGGCACAAGGTTGGTAACTTGGCAGGATTCGAACCCGGAATCTCTTGGTTCTGAGCCGAATGCTCTGCCGTTACGCCACAAAACCCCACAATGTTCTCTCCTCAGTTTAAGTTACCTGATCCCTAACGTGTACCTTGTTTAGACTGGACAGGTAAACCTGTTAGGTCCAGCCATCCAGGTGTTGGTTAGCCTGACTACATCACATATCTTTCAGGTCATTGAGTCTTCCATTGATGAGGCCCCCCTGGTGCATAAAAACTCCTGAGTTCCTGTTAGCAGTTCTGGGAATGGTTCTCTCGAGTTAGAGCTGTACTCGAGTCTAACCACAAGCTCTCAGGGAGGCAGCCCAATCAGCCTGGCAGCAAGAGTGATTGTGTAGCACAGGCTAAGGGGTCGGTGAACCAGTTTTGGGGCCACCAAATTAATGGAGCTTGGCTGGAGACAAAGGTCCTGCACTGTCAGCAAAAAATCACCACAACAGAACTAATCTAATGTTATCAAATAGCACCAATAATTTATATCAAATGTTACATTCAGAACTTTTCTGAAAGAAATATCAGACTGAGGACATGTGAGTTATAGAAATCAGAAACATTTATCTAATCAAAACAGTCAACACTAATACAGGATGTGCCAGTTTTTAGACCTTGAGTATCATACGATACTGGCATACAGACAGAGTTTGTATACATCTGCTAATCACAGGTCCTGCCTATTTTGCCTGGGGGGAGGAAGCAATTGGGATGTTGTATTTTGGTAGGAATGTTTTCGTAAACATCGCATCATTCATTCATTTAGAACACTAGCTCTAGCAAGTACCCAAAGTTAGACACAATCATTTTACCTCTTTTTTTTAAATTTCTTTGTTTCCCATACCTTACCATCATAGTATGAGTCATACCAACCTGGCGAAGACTCAGAAAACGTGAGTAAAGCAGGACACAGGCCAGCTCCTCTGCTCCAGGGCCCACACAAGCCAGCTCCTTGGCTCCAGGGCCAACATATCTACTCTCCAAGCTGAGGTCTGGGTTTCGGCTTATTTTGGGCATGATTTTAGGCTTTTTTTAACAGGCTTTCTTTTTGTACTGGTACATATTTTTATGTCAAAAAAAAAAAGATACCAATGCAAAAAAGGAAGCCTAAAAACACGCCAAAAATAAACTAAAAAACCCAAACCTATGCTTGGAGGGTTAAACACACCCCCAATGACATTTTACCACACAGTCTCCTGCTGAGTTAGACCTTGAGGTTTCTCTGGCTACCTAAAACCTGTGGCGTATCCTTGCCCTTCTCCCCGCATGTCTAACCTAGTCATTACAACTGATTCGATTTTGGCTGCCAAAAGGGTCTAATTTGCCAGCAGCTGTTGGGGCAGAAAGGTTGTTATGTCTTTCTGAGTCTCAAACTAGTTACTCTGAGATGACCAAGGACAACCTTTGCAAGTATACGGTCAATATACATTAGCTTGAGTTGAGTTATACAACTGTTGCATGGCTACTAGACAAGATATTGGTAATATCAGACAGACAAAACATGTTCTGGTTTTTGTGGCATGTTTGTAGAACATGTTATTGACATTTGAGTAAAAAGTATGAGCTACAATTTAGTACAAATCTGTTACAAGGAATGGGCGTATTTCTTAGCATGTTACACAACTGTAACTACTCAGTCAGTGAGGACAAGTCAATGAACACTGCCTGATCAAAATGGTTTGTATTCTAGATTGCCAAGTGCATTTTACTCTCTGAGCCAGACGTTTTGGTCTGAGTTTATTTTGTTGCTTATTTGCGGCAGTCTTGATCTTAATTTTGACAGAGTTATGTGGATTTTTTCCCTGTCAGGCGGGCAAAATGGTTTTAAAAAATTAATGTTTTGAGCAGCAAAATTCTGTCCAATGACAGAAGGATGGGTGCCATGGTGGAAACAGTCCTGTTTAAAATCCTGGCGATTTTTTCCACACAAATTCTGCTGTTTTAAGCAGCAACCCGGTGACCAGACCAGAGTCAGTCTTCCATATAAACATTGTTACCATTATTGAATTATTCCCCTTATATTGATCCGTGGCCAAACCCAGGGCAGTTAGCTGTATAATTCCTCCGTGATAAACTGTAGAGAAGTAATCATGACTAGCAGGCTTTTAGCTAGGGGGTGTCCAGGGTGTCTTTTGGACGCCCTGTACTGAAAATAATAAGAAATTGGACGCACTACTTTTTTGTAGGACACCCTAAAGACGCCCTATTTTTTCCACTCCCAACCCCTGCCATGCACACATGCCTCCCTTCAGCCTTACTATAAATACAAAAATGATGGTTTACTGAAGGAAAAAACTCAAATTTACACCTGAAAATGCAGAAAGTAGTGTTTGAGAGCATTATGAATTTCAAAAAAGCCCCCCTAAAATCTTGCACTCAGCATGTCTTCACTGTGCATAGCATACAATAAAAAAAATGGACGCCCACCAAAAAAATCCTAGCTAAAAGCCTGATGACTAGTAGTGTAACACAAAAGTCTCTGTACAGTATTTTCTTTTCTTAATATTTTTTTTTCAGACTCTTTCTCAGTATTTTCTTTCTTTTTTAATTACAGTGTATTTTCCTGTTTTCTTTCTGTATTTGCTACTGTTCATTTTTAACAACAGCAAACTGGGGACGTGGTTAGGGCTTGATCAGCAACAAAATGACACCTGGCCCTACAGGTTATACAGCAGGGCTTCTGTATATTTTTGTTTACCTAGCCAAGCCTCCCAGGGGGATTTTTAAACGGGTGGGATTTAAAACGGGCTTCGAAAAAGGATCTCCCAAAACGAAAACACCGGGTTTTCGTTTCCCATTTCCTCATCAAAAAAAAAAAACAAAAATAATCAAGTCATTTAAGACACAGCATTCAAATAGAAGATATTAAGGTGTTGGTATGTATAATTTCCATGGGGAAAATGTCCAGTTGTTTTGGGACCCAGCCCTTCTGAGCGGCCTCTAGGGCGGATGGAATCAGCTGTTGCTTTGTTCTGCATAATTAATGCTGACCTAGGCGCAGTGGGGAGCCCAAACAAAGACCACAACACAACAAAGGACACCACCAGCCTGGCACCACACATTCCACTCCAAAATCTAGGGGTTATATGGGTTACCGTAAAGAAATACAATCGTCCGGTCTGTCTCCAAGTAGCCGCCTAACAAGGAGACCAACACAAACAAAGAACAGGCCTGTCAAAACGGCTAGGGTTCCTAACGGTTCAATGAAAGAAGCCGGAAAGCAGTGACTCACTATGGGTCGTTGGTGAACCTCGGCACTTTGGGCTGCTCGAAGCTGTGCAAATGGCAGTACAGCACGTCGAAACAGAAGCAGCACATCTCGGTGCTAACCACCAGCCTCCTCTCCACCCCATTGATGGGGTATAGACTCAGCCGATAGCCGTTGTTGTGGTGCGAATCCTGAGAGACCTTCTGCTTCTTCACACCACAACAGCCGGCCGCCATTTCGGAAGCCTCCTCCCTGCTGGGGGTCCACTCAGTGCGCACGCGCCGCCGCTTCAGTCTCGGCTCTTCTCGCGAGGGTTCATCTTCTCTCGCGGGATTCGGGTTCAAGTCTCGCGAGATCTTCCCGGGCACTCCTCCACCGCAGGGGATGTCGGTATAGCTATGGCGGAAAAATAAAACAAGACAGGAATCGATGAGCAGGGTAAATTTTGAAGGGAGGTGCAGCACAATTTGGCAACGGTATCGGAATGTTAAACAGGCGGAAGGACTCACGTTCTTTTCGGGACCACCCTGATCGGCGCGGCGGGGTCGGGTTCAGGGTAGTTTCCCTCCTGCATGTCCTCGGGCGAGAACTCCCGCGGCGGCCGCAGGCTGAAGAGTTTCGCCACCAGCAGACAGAGATGGGCGACCTCGAACGGCGGCGGCGGCACAACCTCCACGTTCTCCTGCCCGGCAATCTTGACGCCGTAGCAGAGCACGGAATCCTCACGAGCAAACCCACCCAGGCGCGCGGCTGATAGACAGTGTAGGAATAACGTTGCAGCAACAACAGACAGACACCGCCCTGAATTTCCGGGCACGGTATATATAACACACACTAACAGGACGGGCGTCGCGGCTTCGTTTCTCCTTGCTGCAACTCGGCTCGGTCGTCTGTCCGATACTGCGTCTGACGAAACCGGCTTGTGGCTGGCTGCCGGCCAAGGTGCTGCGTTTCAGCGTGTATGGACGGTTCAGGTCAGGACCTGCAGAATGAGCGAAGAGGTGCGGAGGGTCAGTACGTACCCACCAGTGGCGGGGCCGGGGAGAGAAAATTGATATCCTAGACAGGCGAAAGGTTCCGGCCCAGTTTTCGATCAGACAGAAGCCGGCGCGTAGCTATAGCCTATCTCTCGGAGTTGCGTAGAGAGGCTCCCCTGACAGGTGGACACACCCCAGCAATGTCTGGAGCTTGCATGCGAAGCGCCTGATGGATACGCGCAGCATAATCGTATGCCGAACTGACGCTCGAGCTCCCATCTGTATACGTACGAGTCAAATGGTGAAAAACCACGGGAGGGAAGCTAGGCCTCTAAAGGTTGGCGATCGGTCAATGCTAGTGGGGCTGACGTAAAGGGTTGTCATTGCAATGAGATTGGGGTTGACTCGGGCGTGCTCAAAACCGGCGTGCTAGGATTGAGATCGCGTGAGCTGTATGCATACAATTTCTGCCAGGGGTGTCTGGTGGATTTTTTTTACTCGACCCTAAACTAAGGTGTTTCCAAAAAGGCATTCCTCCAACACTTGGAGGTAGCGATAGATGGAAACGGCATGCAACCTGTGAACCCTGGTGTCGCGTCACACCGTGTCACACGTGTTGGGGTCACTGCTTGATTTATGCAGGCGGCGCCTCCAAGGCGGATCTACCCTGCACGGAGTGTTGTTTTACCCAACAGAAATAAAACACAGAACTATTTTTTAACATCTTAATTATTAAAAAAAAACAGATTGGTACATCGTACGTGGGCAGTCACTATACAATCATCTACAAGACATAACGTTACATAAATGTCCTTGATAAATATTACGAACTAAGACAATTGGGCACAGACGGGAACTGTTGATACATTACAAGACTTAAACTACAGATTTGGAGCAATAATTGGTGAAAGATGGCTAAAATAAAAAGGAAAGCTTGCTAGCTAGCTAGTCTCATAAACACAGAACTCTGAATCGTTTTGGAATAAACCCGTTTCAAAGCTGGCAGTGTTACCCCGAAAGGCAGTTATACCGTCTATACACAGTAGATACAGAAATGAAATAACGGAATAATAAAATCAATAACTCACCCGTGGAGAGGATATCTAGATATCACATAGTGGAACATATTTTTGTTCATCTTAATGCTGAATACTGATACATTATAAAATCCTGAGCTCATACTCGTGCAGATGGCAAGCTCTGTGTGATACAAATGCTATTTCTTTACAGATAAGGCTATCCAAATAGCTCACGCACAAGCTTAGGGCGAAAAAATTGTTTTAACTTAATATATTATTAGGCACATTTTATTCTCTTAACACTCAAAGTAAAATATTGCTCGCAGATGGTATGCCCTGGAGGATACTTATTTTTGTTATTGACAATACCACATGTACAGACAGATCGTATTCAACAATAAAAGATGGTACATCTCCCAATAGGCAATAATATAAATTTCTTTTTCTCAGATAAAAGTTCTAAGATATTGCTTGTGTAGATGGTAAATACCCATTGAAGGATACTTCGCTCATCTGTACACTGGCAACGGCGTTTGAACGGTGTATAATAAGAACATGAGCACAACCACCAAAATGGAATTCATGTCCCCTTAGGCCATGTATTATATTTCTCTTTCATCTCGCAGCCCAAAGTAAGATATTACTTGTACCAAAGCCAGGCCCTGAGGGATGTTTCGTTCAGCCTAACTACTTATATCTAAACAGTTTTTAATAGAAAAAAGGGTGCAACAACCGACATGGAATGTATCTCCATGTAGGCCATGTATATTATTTCTCTTTCTTCTGACAGCCCAAAGTAAGATATTACTTGTACAGACGCCATGCCCTGAGGGATGCTTCGTTCAGCCTGACTACTACTTATGTATATTTAAACAGTTTTTAAAAGAAAAAAAGGTGCAACGACCGACATGGAATGTATCTCCATGTAGGCCGTGTACATTATTTCTCTTTCATCTCGCAGCCCAAAGTAAGATATTACTTGTACAGACGCCATGCCCTCGGGGATGTTCCGTTCAGCCTGTGAACACGCCTGTCTCTCAGTAGCCGTTATTAGGCCACACCAAGTAATTTTTATGGATGGCGTCCTCTGGAGACTCCAAATCTAATGCGAGAGCGCGAAAAGAAAAACAAGAAGGGCTGAAAAAAGCAAGATGCCCAAATATGAGTGACTAGGGGACGACAAATGTTAAGACACAAAAAATCGACACACACTACTAGTATAAAAACCAACAAGCTTAAGTCCTTTATTCGCCATGAAAACAGCAATAAATCAGTGGAACAGCAGTTGTCGTCTTGTCCTGTTTCTTTTCTTTAATCACATCTTGCCTTATTCCTACTAGTATGTCGTGAATCTTGTTTTTTTCCTAGGAACAGGCCAAAATCAATGCGCGCGCGGACGTCATCCGTAAAAACTTGGTGTGGCCGTGCAGGAGTCTACCACCTGTATCCATCCGGCGTACTGACCCGCGCGGGGTTGACAAATAAGGAGTGAGATGTTCCCCGACAGGCGTTTCATATAAATGTGATTACATGTGGATATAGCTGAACGTGGGGGATGGGTCAGTGGCAAACATGGTTTGAAATAATGCTTCGGATGAACAATTATTTTACGTGAGGATATCATATGTATGGCACGTCTGGGGAGGATGAACTTAACTGAACTGATATCAATGACTTTTGTACAACATTCATTTTTAGTGCACTATGCACCAAGTAACATCTAGTGTCAGTGCACAGTAAACCATGAAGATGACAGACGGTCATCGAAACGTCGGCTACTGAAACATAAATGGTTGAGATAAAAAGAACTTTGCTATTCAGTCGTCTACCAACCTGATGAAATTATTTACGGATTCATTTTGTTACCATGCCATATATCACATAAAAGAGAGTGAAACAGGCGATGGATGTCAATTCTAGTACAGTAATCTCTTTTTGTTTCAGGAAACAATGCAGAAAAAAATCGACAGTCTACACACTACAGTTGAACTTCTTTGTGATCTTTTATTTTTATGTAAACACCTAGTAGCAGTTTTGTGAAGCTGGAACCATAAAGAAAATGACACAGCATGTGTGAATAGGTGCATGAGATAACCGGGGAATATCTAAGACACCGGGGATTTCTAACCTCGGATATCGACCCCGGGTAAAAACTATAAAGAGAGAAATATGTGGCCCGGCCATGATTGCATGTAAGCACCTCAAATGTCATGCAAGCCCACGGTCTGGGATCGGGGATGAAGAAAGTAATTTCAAACGCCGGTGAAGAACGTTTCCACCCTGCACAAGGACAGGGGGTCTTACCGCTTCGGCAGGCTAACCATTCGTTTGGGTGTAATTTTGTAGATGATAGGGATTTTGGGAGAGGAGCATCACCACTATTACTGTGTAATAGTATATCTTCCCCGCACAGTATTGAGTTATACTATCAACTGGCCCGAGGAAGTCTAGCAAACGATTTGTTATAAAGACGTCTTGCTGGTGAACGTACGCAGCGTGTGACAAATCATTCATCCCACACGTATTTTTGCCAACTTGTGTTATTTTTGTAGCCTTTGGGAGAGGCGCATCACCACTATTACTGTGTAATAGTATATCTGCCGCTCACACAGTATTGAGTTATACTATCAACTAGCCAGAAGGAGTCTGGCAAAATATTTGTTACAAATACTTCTGGCTGATGAGCACTTGTGACAAATCATTCATCCTACACGTATTTTTGCCAACTTGTGTTATTCGTGTAGCCTCAAGAGGTGTCTGGTAGAGATTGCGACGAGAATTGACGACAGGTGCATCACTTCGATTGTACAAATAACGACGCACGAACGATTACTGGCGTCGATTTACACACACTTGGCCAAATGCACGTATTTCAAAAGCCTATGGCTCTGTAGTTTTACCTCCCTAAAACAGAGGTATTGCTTTCTGTAGATCCAGACTATCCATGGTACGGTAGTGGATAGAAAGGAGACTACCCAGAACTGTGCCTGATCCTATTCCCTATTTATATAACCCATTCAGGCATAGAACAATATAGGCATGGTTCGGGATACCATAGAGACTATCCAGACCCAGAACCGTGCTTAATCCTATCGATAACTCATTCAGGCATAGAACTAGATACTGTAGGCATGGTTCTGGATACAATAGGGACTATCCAGAACTTGTGTGCCTCAGATCCTAACCCATCCAGGCATAGAACTAGATAGGCACGGTCCTGGATACAATAGGGACTATCCAGAACTTGTGTGCCTCTGATCCGTACCCACCCAGGCATAGTTCTGGATACGATAGAGACTATCCAGAACTGTGCCTCAGATCCTAAACCCACCCAGGCATAGTTCTGGATACGATAGGGACTATCCAGAGCTGTGCCTCTGATCCTAACCCATCCAGGCATACTAGTAGTTCTGGATACGATAGACACAATCCAGAACCATGCCTGATCCTTTCCCTAACCTATCCAGGCATAGAACTAGATAGGCACGGTTCTGGATAGGATATAGACAGATAGCACTTCACTCCCAGTGCGGTGCCCTCGAGCTCGGCCTCGCCGCTGTTGGTCAAACTGAACTTGACGTGAACGCCTGACACTGATAGATGCCTCTCTGTCTGCGGGATTCCGCTCAGCTAGATAACATTCCCGGTTCATGGTGACATAAACAGTTCGGCGGGGATGGACGAAACAAATGGGCGAAACGTGGAGGGAAAACAGATCCGCTCTCAGGAGGAGGAAGTGAAGAACATTATACAATGCGCCAAAAACAGTTACTCAAGCAACGCACTGCCAACGGGATATGATTTGGGAAACGATCAGGCGTTTCAGGTAGTGTCCACTACCTTTCATTCCAAAATCATATCCAGTTGTTTCAGTAACAGTTGTTTGGCGTACATGC